TTATGTTTTGACGTTTATGGTGAACTCTGAAAACGAGTTATAGAATTGATTTGAAGGAAAAACGATAGATAAAGCAATATGAACTGCGTCGTATCCACACATTTTCATAAACATTCTGCCCCGCTTCGAGTTGCAAGTTCGCTATAACTTTTGTTTTACAAAATAGTTGTGCAAGCAACATATACCGAACGAAGCGGAAAATAGTGTAGCGTGTTAATACATATATCTTGTTTTCAGTCATTTCCAACAAAAAGAGTTATAAACAAAAACATACATTTTTCGCTCCAAGATGGCGGCGTTTGTTTACATTTTGTAGGATACGACGCAGTTTTGATTCCCAGCCCTGGACTATTCTAGCTGTTTATAAACATAAGAAATTTTCTTTTATATTAACAAACAGAACATAATAAGATGAGAAATTTACCACTTGGAGAAATTCATCAAATGGATAGAGGTACAGGAATGATGAATATGGATAGAAATATTTTTTTGACTGGCTTTATGTACTTTGGCAAGGAAGTTTATAATTATTCAGTTAAACCTGGTTTTTCAGTGATCTTCAGGACTCTAAATAAATTCATATATTTGTGGTATCAGGGGAAATTAAATTACTATTTGTGCTAAAACTGGTCATTAACACCATTCTAAATATTTAGAATGTACCTGTAGGTGTTGTCATTTTCACTCTTCACTGAGGTTATCCCAGGTCAACCATTTTTTTTTACTAATGGCTTTAATTTGACTGCCCGCGCAATCATAAGCTCATTTATGGCTAATAATTTTACCTTTACAGTATATATCAATAGACTAAAAAGTTATGGAAAAAACGTTAAGGGTGGCTGGCAGTCTGACTTGAGTGATTTGATTGTAAATAATATATTTCAAAATATATGTCTTAACTTGTGACAGACCTGAGGTTAAATTGGTGTACATTTCTAGTGGTGACAGGGCCCATGATGGAATTTTACACACACAGGGCAGCAAACAGAAATCTTAACTACAACACCATTATACAGGTACTTAAATAATGGGAAGAAAAGGTCTAGAAAAAATATCAAATATCAAAAATATCAAATACTGAATTCATATTTTATTAATTCTAATATGTGTAGGACAACTCCCTTTTTAATTTTTTTAATGTAGGCACACGGGTCTGAACCACCAGGTTTCGGAAAGAGTCAACCCGCCAGGCAAAATACTAAAATGTTAGCTATGTGTCAGGCTATGTGTCAGGCGAAAAAAGGAAAGTATGACAAAGTTGTTAATATTTTGTTGTATTTTTGTGTTTTTGCCTTGCGAAACAAATAAATACCAAGGCACAAATCTGCCACCATATTATTTTCTTACCTGTCCAAAGATATGTACATGCATAAATAAAACTGTTTACTATTTAGAGGAGATAATTATGAGTAACCAGCCGGATAGCTCAGTTGGAAGAATGGTATTCCGAGAGTTAGCTAGGTGTTCGAGTCCCTTACATGCTGAGACATTTGCAACATACTTTATAATACTGTTAATTTTTATAAGTAACAATTAAGTTTTCCATAAAAATAACATATGATAACAGCAACATAACATAACAGCAGGAAAAATAACGATTACTTATAAAGTATGTTGCAACAGTATTTATTGGTCAAACGGAAAAAGAATGCGGTGTTTAAATTCAGTGTTGTGTTATGCGCTAAATTTAGAGTTCTACTGAAGGTGGATTGATTCTCAACACAATGTTCCGTTTTATATTTTAATGTTTCTTTCTTAGTGGAATACCACAGATAATAATATAACATATACACAGGTTATCCTGATGTTAACAAATTGATATTAAAAATACAGTAACGATTATTATTAGTGGAAAGCCACAATACAATGTTATCACTTGGAAATCCAAAATCTAACTGACCCTAAATTTTCTACATGTATCTTTACAATAATTCAAAATTGATTTCGTTTTAACTGACCAATAGAATGTTTAACATTTTTGTGTCTTAAATAACAAAATGACCAATCAGGTTTCAATACAAATAATGAAACATAGCAACATAGAATTTATAACAACAATCATCACCTGGATATTTTTATCAGTCATAAGGTTTAACAACATGATAAGTACAGACAGCTTAATTTGACCTTATCACCTATTATATTATAAAACTTTTAGCCACAGTTGATTGGACAAAGAGGAAAAGCCGCATTTTAATCTTCCAGTTACATAATTTTAAATTTGACATCTGTTATTGAAACATATACTATTTGTAACGTATTTTTGAAATTTCACAAATTTTGTTTTGAAAATTGACCTTTTTTTTTTGTAAATGAATTTTATCATTTTTCGGCTGCCACAAACACTTCTCCCTCCTTCAAGACTGTTTCACTCCTGTGAAATGAAGCATAAATACTATATAACAAAAATAAATATCATCAAATTAGAATACTGTTTACATAAGATATTCAGTTTCAGAAATATATACTTGAATATAAAGCACCGATTTTGCTGAAGAGCGTAAGTACCATTCACTAATAATAAATATCCTAATCACTGTCTTATTGTAAACAACACAGTTTTAATGATGTCTATTTCTGTTGTATTGTCCCCTCTGTCCTTTGTTGTCTTCCATGATGATATTGACCTCTCCATTCATGTGGGAACCCGGTTTCGCATGTACTTGAAAGATCTTGATTTCTGTTTCCTCTTTTTTCGACATAGATATTTAGTTTTGTCTTTCAACTGGGCAATTTCATCTTTCAAAGTGTGGTTTTCATCTTTCAAGTCATCTATTTTGATCGTTTTTCTTGATTCCATCATCATAATTTCATAGGCTTTCTGGTTGTGCTTCCAATCTCAGTTGTTCATAGTCGTCATTTAGTTTCTTAAATTCTAATATAAGTTTGTCCATTATCTCTAGTTTTGAAGAGTCAGTCCGAATTTTTTTCCTTTAGCGAGTTGTTGTTTTGAAAAAAATGTTTCTTTAAGTTGACTTATTTTCTAATTTCTTTATGGAAACCTCATCCTGTAGTTTTTTCATTTAAAATCCTTAAGTCTTTGATTTTAAAAACAAAGGGCAATATTTTCTGCTTTTAAACCGTAAATAGTTTTAGTCATTGAATCGGTCAAAGATTTCAACTTCTGAAATTCTGCTGTTGAAACATTACTTACAGAATTGTTTGTTTTGGTTCTTCTTAAAGTAGGCATCGTCTTCATTGTAAAACGGAAATGTGTATTCAGCTGTCTTGCGTCTGATGAAAGTTGTCATGCGTTCCTGATCGCGTAGTTTTGAGTGGTTTGACTTTTGCCTAACTGCTGGACGTAGACAAACTCGTGCAAAAATGTCCAATTCTATTACATTTGTTGCATCTTGCCATTTTTGCACAACACTTCCCTGTCTGTTATTATGATAAAAGTCCACATTGTCCACATGATTTTTTCACTTTGAATGGTATTCCATATGTGAAACTCATTGTTGTTCTTCTTGGGGAATTTAATCGTAGTCTCGCTTGCTAAATTGAGAGGTTGGGAAAGACACTGATTCCCGCCACCGTGTTATGCGCTAAATTTAAACTTTCTACTGAAGGTGGATTGATTCTCAACACAATGTTCCGTTTTATTATTTTAATGTTTCTTTCTTAGTGGAAATACCACAGATAATAATATAACATATACACAGGTTATCCTGATGTTAACAAATTGATATTTAAAAAAGTAACGATTATTTTTTAGTGGAAAGCCACAATACAATGTTATCACTTGGAAATCCAAAATCTAACTGACCCTAAATTTTCTACATGTATCTTTACAATAATTCTAAAATTTGATTTCGTTTTAACTGACCAATAGAATGTTTAACATTTTTGTGTCTTAAATAACAAAATGACCAATCAGGTTTCAATACAAATAATGAAACATAGCAACATAGAATTATAAAAACAACATCATCACCTGGATATTTATCAGTCATAAGTTTAAACAACATGATAATACAGACAGCTTAATTGATCTTATCACCTATATATTATAAAACTTTTAGCACAGTTGATTGGACAAAGAGGAAAAGCCGCATTTTAATCTTCCAGTTACATAATTTTAAATTTGACATCTGTTATTGAAACATATACTATTTGTAACGTATTTTTGAAATTTCACAAATTTTGTTTTGAAAATATGACCTTTTTTTTTGTAAATGAATTTTATCATTTTTCGGCTGCACAACAGTTGTACGGTGCTCCAACATATATTCATCTCATTCACCTAATTTTGGCTATACCGGTATTCTGTCTGTATATACCGTCGGCAACCTATACAATAATTATTATTTTCCACACAAATTGTATTATGAGCTGTAGAAAATTAAATATTCACATCAAACATTTCAGAAAAGTGAATATATAACTCGACTAGACTGTGATGAATTTCATACACGGACACTGTCCAGCTACCTTACAGGCGATCTGTTGTTAAACTGAGGTGTCGCTAGTGACAGGAATACTTAACGGAGGTCAATACCAGCTGGACATACTCAACAGTTAAAGTCTTATCAGTGTTTTTGTTATTTAAATCCCGACCACATAAATAACACATGGACAATAGTTACTGATTACCTCTAACAAAACACTAAATCATTTATCATACAAAGTTTATTTATCGGACAATTACTGTAAATATTTTGTAAAAGTTTTATATTCTTTATGTAGGTACATTAATTCTGATGCTTTCCTATATACATGATATTGTCAGCACTATTACTGAAATGATTTAACGGAGCGATTCAGTGCAGAAAAGTCGCATTGTAAAGTAAACCAGTTTGCTTTGCACGATGAATACAAATTTAATATTCAATTCTTCACTTACTTATACAGTTTGTAATTTTGATTTAAGTTTAAAAAAAACACCCTTTTCACCGTTTCTACAGGGAGATATCTTAAAATGACGTAGATTTATGTAAAACTTTGCATAAAAGGTCACACATTTCACGCTATGTGAACCTAACAAGGTCACTAAATTTTCATTAAGGTTAACTACAACTACTTCTTTTTACTACACAAGGTTAAGATCTGTGCGTACATAAACCAGCATATACAAATATGGAAATAGTGTTAGTTATTTCGTTTATAATACTCATATCTTTCGGTATAGAGTGGCTACTTCGAAAACTAAGAGTCAATAAGTTTGAGCAGCGATATGTCTTGGTGACCGGGTGTGATACCGGGTTCGGGAATATGCTGGCTAAAAGACTTGATGTGATGCGGTTTCGTGCATTCGCTGGATGCTATACGAATAATGCTGTAACAGAACTGACAGAAGAATGTTCCGAAAACTTGACAGCGATCCAAGTTGATGTCTCAAGTCCGACAAGTATTGACAAAATGGTTGAAACGATCAAAAACAAATTACCTACAGATAAAGGCAAGTTTAAATTTTGATAATTTTGCACTATGAGATGTTTGAAAAAAAAACTATAACGTCCGGCGGGTGTACATATTAATTATGTTTGGTTCAAAAATAAGTTTCTATGTCATATTTGTTTTTGTATTTAATTTACATAGTTCTGCTTGGTTTATACAGTCATATTTATTCCCAAAAGTATAAATAATGTACTAACAAATGTACTAACAAATAAACAACACACAACTATATTTACATGATGGAAAAGGATGCGAAAGGAAGACGAGCTAATAGAATTCTTCTCCTTGGTTTGCATATACATTGTATTCGCATACCTGTAAATTGGTTTAAAGTAATTGGTTTAAAGTGGTTTAAAGTAAACAGTACAAGTGATACGTATATAAAAAAGATAACTATATGTAAAGCATGACAATTCTATCGGTAGACTATTTAATTAAACTTGATATAAATAAAGCTTTCTAAATAGATTATTGAATAATTGACACAATTAGATGGGATAGTTTTGGAGTAAAAAATAAAACAATAAGTTTATTGATAGTATACGAACATGTACATTTAGATTTTTTAAAGTCTATAAAAATTTATAAAAAAAATTAGCTTATTTCAAATAGGTAATATTTATAAAAACATTTCAGGTCTTTGGGCCGTTGTGAACAATGCCGGGGTTACTGGGACTGCGGGACAATGCACTTGGCAGACTAAAGAAGATTTTGAAAATGTTTTGTCTGTCAATTTCTATGGCGTTGCTTTGGTAACGAACGCATTAACACCGCTTATAATTAAAGAAAAAGGACGGATTATAAATACCTCCAGTATGATGGGGCGTATTGCATTTGGTCAAGTAACTTATGTTGTGTCGAAATATTGTGTTGAAGCATATTCGGACGTCCTCAGGTAAATTTTCAAACTAAATTAATTTAGATTGTGTAAAGATATATTGTGCTCAAAGTTAAAATCTGAAACACATTGTGTACTGATAAATGCTATACAGTCTCTTTCTGTATGCGAAAGAAACATCTGATGAGTACTGAATGAGAAGATACGTTACGTTCTAGACTAAACACACTATAAATTATTACAGTTTGTATACAAAGTGTCATTAAAAACTGTAGATTTTTCTTTTTAAGACAGGACTACATTATCTCGCCAAGTAATAGGAAATGCATTCTTCAAATATGGTTTGAGCATTTTCCTTTTCAAATTTAATTTATTCAGTAAGATTTTACTGCAAGAAAACTACATTACATAAAGAAAGCATATTGTATCTTTAATAGATTGTACTTTATATAAACAGAAAAAATATTGATATTGTTAATTAGTTATTAAGTACATTATGAATGACTTTCATGCTTCAATTTTATTTCAATTTTACAGTTATTTTTTCTCTTTCGTGTACAGGAGGGAATTATATAGAACTGGGGTGAAAGTATGTATAGTTGAACCAGGCGCCTTCAAAACAGGAATAATCGACCCAAAGGGTCAGCAGAAAAGACTTGAAGACAAGGTGAAAAACTTGCCTGAAGAAATCAAAAAGACACTCCGGGATGATTACATTAACCAATGTAAATTGAAACTTTATAAAAAACCGCTTTTATGATAATGATTTTTCCTTTTTTTTTGGTTGAGCGATAGCTTTTAAATAAGATATGATAATACAATATGTATTCAAGGAAGTGGCGATCTTGTAGTAAATATATCTGCTATTTAACCCGAGGATCTTGGGTTCGAGCCCTACTTGGGTAAAGATCATGTTTACTCATATGAGAACAAAACTGTTTAGTTCCAGGATATGGAGTCAAAAGTGATAAATTCAAGTTGCAAAGAACGTGCTAGAACAGCCGAGAACTGATAATTAATATGTTTAAACTAAAATTAATTCTAATACCCTAATAGCAATAATTGCTCTTAAATGCTTTCTTGATCCTTGAAGAAAAAAGATTGGATAACATTACTTGTCCATTTAAATTTGTTGGAAGAAATAATAAATCGCTACTTCACTAAGGTATAATTAGTCTTATGTTTAAATGCATTTCCCTTTTCCAAAATGATTAATTGTGTTATCCTGCATCATATCATATTTTACATTCAGGTATGACCAATTTCATCAAAGCTACATCCAAAGCCTCGGTTAATGTGAATGAGGTGGTGGAAGCCTATGAGCACGCACTTACTGCCAAGTATCCTAAGAAAAGGTAGGAAAGGTTTTTATTACATGCTTTTCGGTGGTTTATAGAAATATATCAGTGATATAAAACTGGTAATTTCACTGTTTGAAACAGTGAAATTACCACTTTGATAATTTCACTGTTTTGAATTTAAGCCCCTTACGTTGTTTCAGTGAAATACCAGCGTGCACAGTACTGGGTACCAACTTAATGACGTGACGTCGTAAATGACGTCACGTTGTATTATTATTTGGCGCGCTTTTCATTCAGTATTAGGCTTAATGTCTTTTTAAAACGTTTCTTTGCATGTAATAAAAAGAAAATTTGTTTAGTTTAGTGTAAGATCGAAATATAGTTCACCTTGTGAACACCAAAAGTTCATATTTCACTCGTGGCTGCGCCACTCGTGAAATATACCTTTTGGTGCTCACTCGGTGAAATATATTCCGATCTTACACTGAACTAAACAAATATCCTCTATAGTATCATGACCATCAATATAAGTAATAAAAGTCATTACAGTGTCTCTAGATGCTTGCAGAAAAAAATCATGATCACAAATTACAAAAAAAAATCGCTTTTTCGCCAAATATTACATTTTCCATTTATTATCGTATAATCGGTGTTGAGAGATGAATCAGACATTTAAAATTTCTTACATTGGACGAAAAGGACGAGATTTTAGCATATAATCATTCAAGCCCCTTGTCCGGTAAATACCGGTATACGGTATTTAGTGAGGTGCTCCAACGTTCTTTTAGTCTCCCCAAATATGTGTTATCATTCCCTTCATACCCATTTTCTCATAATCTCATAATGATATTTATTCATTTTATTAAAAAATATGAATGATCGCTTGTTTTAATAATAAAAACATACAATTCTTGTAGGAGAAAAAGTCCAACCATCCATCCATATTTCTGTTAATAATAGCTGGGGTTCACGAGTGAAATATTATTTGATCTTACATGTAAAACAAACAAATTTTCTGTTTATTTCATGATTTTTTAACGATTTTTACACCATTTTATGCTTTTCAGTGGATTACTGATTTATCCGTGAAAATTATATTTGGTAATTTCACAGTGAAAATTATCAAAATATAATTTCACTTTTTTCAATGACGAAACTACTTTTTAAGATTTTCCCCAGGTGGTACCTCAATTTTATTTTTGCTGACAATTCTGACAATGTCAGGCTGTTTAAAGAAAAAGGAAAGCTGAAATTGATAAATACCTTAAACGTCAAAAGTAATAAAAAGAAGAAAACTTACTTCTATTCATTCAAATTCCAATCACCAAATTTCGTCTCTAAATTTTTTGTTTCATTTTTTACAGTCTGAAAAAATACATTCCTTCCACATGCAAACTGCTCTTGATGACATTTGGGCATATTAAGTATCCTACGAGTAATAACTGCCGTATGCTTTATGAAAAAAATTGAAAAGCAATGACAGCTACAGCTCGTAGAACAAGTAAACCAACCCAGCGTTCCGAGCAAGTTCCAAGTCTTCCATTTTCATAGCTGCTTTTTTCATGTTTCACATCTGTCAACACTTAATTTTTGTCTGTTTCAATCCTCAAATATGTTTTCTTTCTTTAAAAGGTGTATGACTAACAATTCCAAATGATATCCCTCTGAATCAAACACAAATTATTTTCCTCCCGTGAAATACACAACTTTAAAAAAATGGCTGCCGCTTACATTTAACAAAGCCAGATCTAATATAAATTCGCAGGAGGTAACAGAAATATGGATGGATGGTTGGAATTTTCTCCTACACGAATTGTTTGTTTTTATTATTAAAACAAGCGATCATTCATATTTTTTAAAACAAAATAAATAATATCACTGTCATTTAATGTTGGTTGTCGGACTTATTTTTCAGCTCAAGACTTCTTGTTTTTAATGAGAAATTCGCACGAAATGGGGCTCTCAATGGGGAAACAGATTTTAATATTTATGTTAATATTATGGAAATTTCGTTTAAACTTGTTTTTTAGCATAAAATAAAAAGAAAATTTGTTTGTTTGTTGTGTAAGATGTAATTTTATTTCATCTCGTGAACTTTAATAACAGTATTCTCACTCGTGGCTACGCCACTCGTGAGAATACTGTTTTTAAATCCCACTCGATGAAATAAAATTTCATCTTACACACAAACAAACAAATATCCTCTATATAATCGGTGTTGAGAGATGAATCAGACATTTAAAATTTCTTACATTGGACGAAAAGGACGAGATTTTAGCATATAATCATTCAAGCCCCTTGTCCGGTAAATACCGGTATACGGTATTTAGTGAGGTGCTCCAACGTTCTTTTAGTCTCCCCAAATATGTGTTATCATTACCTTCATACCCATTTTCTCATAATCTATGCGAGGATGACACATGCTGACTGTTTTATATTTATTGTTACAAACTGGACGTTTATATTAGTTTGTTATTAAAGCTGACCGATGGAAACAATCCAATCGGTTAAATTTATACATACTTGAATATATTATAGTGTTTTTTTCT